CGGGGGCCGCGGTGTTGGTCGTGGAGACGGGGTGGGAGCGCGTGGCCGGCGGGGGGCGCGCGGCCGGGTGGGGGGGCGCGGCCGGATTGCTGGAGCAGAAGGGANGGGGAGGGAGGCGGGGGCCGCGGTGTTGGTCGTGGAGACGGGGTGGGAGCGCGTGGCCGGCGGGGGGCGCGCGGCCGGGTGGGGGGGCGCGGCCGGATTGCTGGAGCAGAAGGGACGACTTTGTCGGAACGTCAACCAGCGCCCTCCGTGTCCAGGGTCGGACGACAACGGACGCCGACACCCGTTGTCGACGTGTAGCCGTATGAATATTTCTCACGTGTCCTGACAGGTTCAGATTTGAATCGAACACGCCCAAATGGTCATGAAGTTATACCCGCAGTCGATATGTACCCTGTAGAACGTCGCATGCGTAGGCTATGCGACGGTGAATTTAGGGCGTGCCAGCACTGGGGGGGCAGGATGCACAGGGTTTGAACCCAACCCGGGGATGTCATCGTTTTGTCCCCGGGTGACCTGTGTGTGTTTTTTTTTTTTTGCGATAGATGTTTTTCACATGCTCACAGGTTCCCTCTGAAGCGCTGGTCGCGGGGGTGCAAAGGTGTTTTGAAACTACAGGTGTTTTCGGCGTAAATTTTTACCGTAGCGGCAAGCCTATAATCAGGAAAAAACTATCCTTATTTGACCTTGAATATATCATCAGGTGTGCTCCAATGGGCGTGGAATTGTGCGTACAGTCGAATCATACCCTGTAGAACGTCGTGTGGTTCGTACCCTGTTTGATGGTGACGTTCGTGCGTTCCAGTACCCGGAGGGGGAGGGATGCACGGGTTTAGACCGAAAACCCGGGGACGCGGTGGTTCTGTCCCCGGGGTGGCTTTTTCTTTTTGNTCGTGTGGTTCGTACCCTGTTTGATGGTGACGTTCGTGCGTTCCAGTACCCGGAGGGGGAGGGATGCACGGGTTTAGACCGAAAACCCGGGGACGCGGTGGTTCTGTCCCCGGGGTGGCTTTTTCTTTTTGTTTGTTCTGAACATGTTTCTCACTCATGTTTAAAGATCCCCTCCAAAGGTTATGTCGTGGGGATGAATGAGTATTCCTCAATCGTGGATACAGTTTGGCGGTGTTCGGTGTGAATTCTTATCGTTAGCGGCATGCTAAATCAGGAAAAAGTACCCATATTTTACCAAGCACATTTTACGTAGACATCTCATTTCGCCGTGATATTTTTTTCTCGAGTCGTCTACTGACTGGAATAACACATTTATGCATCAAATTGGTTGTTCTGCCTCGTTTCGAATGCACAGAGCACGCAATACAGGCCACGGAGGGAAATCCCATCCCTACCCATGGTGTCGAAAACCCGCGAATACGTCATTTTCATCCCTGCATGTGGATCATTTTTGTTTTTTCTTACTGTTACTTCATTCCTGTTGTATTTTACGCATGCCCACCAAGTCTTGGGTCTTGTAACGCTTTCACATACGAAACCAACCAATGATGAAAGTGGCCTTTAATACCCCTAGGGGTAGTTTTCTCTCAAAATGACGCCTGCAGCTCAGGTGTACAGCTCCAGCCCTACCTCGTCACTGTTGACGATTTTTTTTTTTTTAGGTAGGCGGGGGGTAATCTTACCTATCGCCCGATACCACAATATCATCGAAATTCGACTTCCTGCTCAAGAACAAGCTCTTAGCACAGGGGGTGGCTGAAGTGGCCTTTAATACCCGCCTCTACTCCAGGCGACCACAGTTCGGTCGTGGCTCCAGCGTACAAACCGGATGACCGCCAGGCACCAGATGACAACGATTATTCCCATCATTGGCGAGCAAAACATTATTATCGTGTTCATGCTGCAGACGTTTTCTTCACTTCATACCGCAGATATCCTACAGCAGTCAGTGGCACAACCCACCAGCGCTGTGACTCGTGGCCCCCCAAAGAAGGTGGAACTCGCTTCACGCACGAGTTAGCCCCTGTGTTTGATAAGTAAGCACAGAGAGCACAGAGAGACAAAACAGGTAAGACACGCCTACGCTATTGGTCTCCCCATGCCGAGGCACGGGACACGGCCGTTTGGTTTCGCCGCGATCTACGGCAGAGGCTGATCGAGATTGGTATCCTCGGGAGGCGGTGCCCATCACCGAGCGTTGGCTGTCTTGGTTATCATGCATAGTTATGCATGCTTTCTGCGCGGTTGTGCGGTGCATGGTGTGTTGCGCGGGTATGCGTGGTGCATGTCTGCGGGTTCTAGAGTCGTCTGGCGCAAGGAAGGATGTAATGACCATTTCTGGGTACAAAATCGAGTCTTTCCGGGTCACCACCAGTAACCCGCTTCGGTTACACCGCCACCAGACGGTCGAGGTGCAAGCGGCAGATAGTTGTACCCGAAAGAGGTTCCAAAAGAAGCAGGTACGATGGTGTTTCGTCTAATCTGCTGGCTGCCTGGGGGGAGCATGCGTGGCGCAAGGATTTAATGACCATTTGTGTTGGTACAAAATCGAGCCTATCCGGGTACACCATCAGTATAAACAGCATCTGTTACGAGGGTCGAGATGCCAGCGGCAGTCAGTTGTACCCGATGGAGGTTCTCCAAAAAAAGTGAGAACGATGGTGAGTCGGCCAGTCAGCTGGCTGCCTGGGGGTGCATGCGTGTTGATTTCTAACTGTACCCTTAGTGGTGATATACCACCCGGGTTACCCGTTTTTCGGGGTTCTGGTTGGTCTTCGAACACCTACGTACCCCCCACACACACCCCGGGAGGGCCCCAAATAAGAAAAGTTGTTTTTTCCGCCATTTCTTTTCTCTTGATTCATTTTTTGCTAGATTTGTCTGAACTCTTTCCGGAATCAATCGTGGAAATACAGGCAGCCTCCGCAAGGAATCCTCGTTATTCTACCTTTGACTCGTTTCGGTAGACAGAGGTGGTCCGATGTGTCACATTAGCCTGTTAACGAAAATCCAGATTAGCACGCCATGCGGAGAATCGAGGGGCCTCGATATACCCCAAATTCTCCGCCATCCAGCACACCAAGACTTTTCGAACATAAATGTAGATTCCTATTGTCTGAACGTCGAGAACGATGCTGCTGCCCAAAAACCAACAGTCAATCTAAAACGATTCTTAGCTTCAAGGCCACCACCTTGGAATGCAATCGACGTCAGTCAGTCAGTCGACGACGCTGGTTTCGCTCGAAAGAAGACGTTGCCCCCCCCCCCCTCCTCCCTATCTCCCACACCCAGTCAATATTGAACGAACAACAAACCGTCAAATATGATGCGCATACCGAACTCAAGAAACCTTGAGAAGCATGAAAACTTTACCTAACATAGAAAGCTGTAGACTGCAGATCGGCCTCCTACAACTCCAAATGACACAGGAACGGCGGCAGCGGGCATCAGAAATGAGCAAAGCTTTAACCGATTTTCCAACTGCCCCGTGTGAAACAAGAGAAATAAGCTACATGGGCTGCACATGAATACCGAACCTAACGACAGCCTCAATTCAGCTAGACTATTGCTCCTGTAGAAATCGAGATTCAAGCCTTCAGCGCGACTCAGCCAACAAGAATACAACATTGACCACGGCAACCGCCAAGGCGCCGACGCTCCCGCACGCGCGAACCCTGACACCGTTGCCTTCGGTGGTCGTAGGCGGCGTGCTCGGATCGTCGTCGGTGGAAGAGCTAGGGATAAGCGAAGCATTCGAGTCGTCGTACGTCGAGTAATCATCGCTAGATTCAATCGTGTAGTCGTCATCCGTCGAGTAATCATCGCTAGATTCAGTCGTGTAGTCGTCGTCCGTCGAGTAATCATCGCTAGATTCAGTCGTGTAGTCGTCGTCCGTCGAGTAATCATCGCTAGATTCAGTCGTGTAGTCGTCGTCCGTCGAGTAATCATCGCTAGATTCAGTCGTGTAGTCGTCGTCCGTCGAGTAATCATCGCTAGATTCAGTCGTGTAGTCGTCGTCCGTCGAGTAATCATCGCTAGATTCAGTCGTGTAGTCGTCGTCCGTCGAGTAATCATCGCTAGATTCAGTCGTGTAGTCGTCGTCAGACGTAGTCACGTCGCTGGGGCACTCCGGTGGTACCAAGTAGTAGAGGCAGCCCGATATATAATCTTGTGTGATTGAGCTGAGAGGGTCGCCGCAGATGCCCTCGTAGAAGAGGATCACTTCATCCACAGAGAGGTCGCCGCACGGATGACAAACGCCAAAGCCACCGGAACCGGTTTCTGATTCCCCGTAGTCTTCCATGCAAGCAATGAGTACTGCAGGGGACGAGTTGCGGAACGATACATGGACAGCACGGAACGACGGGTTGTTGCGAGGAGTTGTGTTTCGCTGGCGACACAAAGTTGGCATCCTCGTTCGCCCTTCGGTGGAGACATTTTGGTGACCGACCTTCGTTGCATATCGTGCAGCTCATCTCCGCGTCATCATCCTCCAAGACTATCTCAGTACCACAGACTCCGCAGCTGTCTTGAAGCTCTCGGTGCTGTACGCTTGGCGCCACCTTGCCGCCAAAAGGCGAAAGGTGCTTTGTCGCGCGGCAGCTGTCGCCGGTCAAGAGCATCATCATCGAGGCCACATACCAAACACGTGCGAAACCGTCCTTCCCTCGCGTGGAAAACATGACCTGCTGCGCGAGCGTTGGATGGGCAAGGATACATTTGTGTATTCGTTGGTTGCTATTATTGTTACGAGAATATATTGCAACCCACGTCACTCACTCTCTACGTTTGAGCGCGGAACGCGGGCCGAGGTTCGAAGAGGATAAAATATGAAATACAACTACCTGTGAGCCTGTGAGCTACACCAAGTACGAAGCAGCGGACCTGTTCTTTTCCCTTTTTAGAAAGTACATTCCCTTTATTTGTTGTCCCTCCATTACACCCGCGCCCCAAAAGGCACAAATCTAAATCGACGAAATCGTTTGTTGCGCTATGTATGGGACGAGATGTATGTGGCGATCTCTCAGTGACACGCGGGTTCAGAGTGGAGCTACACGTGTGCAGGTTGGAGCCGCTTCGCTTCTTCAGTCTGTTTCCTTCTTCGTCCTTTCTTCTCTCTCAGTCGCTCGCTGTCGCTCACTCCCAGGCGACACCAGGGAATAACAGGCAACACTGAGCAAGGTGGAACGCTTGCACATCGCCTGCTACTGCTAGTAACAATTGTACCGCTTCCTGCCTTAAGTAGGAATACTAGGAATTGAATCTGTGCGGGTGGTCGGGATATTCCTGAAAGATATAGTCTAGTCCACCCGCCCAGATGGTATCGTAGTCCAAGGGTTCAAATACCATAACATGTACCACTGTGCCGGCGTCGATGTGACGGTCAGGTCCATCAGCTTCCACTGAGAATTGAGCGGGCGAGAGAGACGCCGAGAGAAGACGGATGATCGCAGAAAAAAACGACTACCCAGGGTCGAACAGATTTGTGGGTCAAGTTGCACACTTATTATGACGACTTGCTAACTGAGCGGAAAAAATAACGAAAATAAGGCACTCAGTAGACTAGTCTACGTACTCCTGTGAGCGGAGGAAAAACAGTGCGGATTTGTGATGACTAGACTACATTGTAGTCCAAAGATGATGAGCGGAAAAAATATGAACAGAAAAGAGGAATCCGCTTGATTGAGATGGGCCACCGAGAGACACCGCGCCAGATCGATTAAGGCGTCTGACCGGTTGGTCCGGTTGGTCCGGTTTCGGCGAGTGGGCGAAACAAGGTAGGCGCAGCGTGAAGACAGACGTTGAATAAGCGGTAGTGTATACATTTCAATCGTAAGTCGTGGGTGACCTGTCAGCGCAGCCATGATCTCCTCGAGACGGGGAAACAGTTGGAAATACATACAGCTCGCTCTCCCCGAGATAACTTTCTGTCAAATGTACAACGCTCCCGAAATTTCCAATGTTGAAGTGTAGTCTAGTTGTGTGAGAGAAGCTACTGCTGTACACGGTACCAACATGCACGATGAGGGTAGGTGGGGACTGCGTCTTATCTGCAGTCGCCACAAATCTGTCGGCAATAATAACCGGAGCCACAAGCTGGTGGGGGGGGGGTCGCGCGTACGACACGCTGTTACCGCTCACTGAGCTACTTCAAGCACGCGGCGGGGTTGAGAAGCGATTAGTGTATGGCGCTGAATCCGGAGGCGAAGATCGGGGCTCTTTTCTGCATCCCCTTTTCTGGGAGGGGATCGAACCCCAGCTTTAGTCTACTGTAAGGTTTTGCGAATAGACCCGACCGGTAAAAAATAGACGCGATTTGGCAAAACTGTGGTTGTATGCTATCACGAACGGGTAGCTCGGTGTATGCGTGTTTTAGGAAGACAGTCTAGTCTACACTCATCAGAAACTCACGAAAAAAACTGCCGTGTTCTACTACGTACTAGGTAGAGTTATCACTTACTTCTCATCTTGTGTTCTGGCTTCTTCGCGTTAACGCACACTACGTAAACTGCTTGCTGTAGACTATTCCGAAAGGCTTGATGGCCAAATGCGACGCCAGCAAACACCATGCTATGCATACTACAGAAAACACGCCCACACCCACGGTAGGTGAACTGATCGTTCCCAAAATAGAAGTGCTCGACTGAGCGTAACAAGTTTCAAGTTTTCAATCAACCGCATAGTCTAAGCGACAGCCAGCCTTCCTTGACATATGATGACAGTCAAAGTGCACCCCTCGGTCGCCAAAGCTACCTACGTACAAATATAGTCTAACGACTCAGCCAAACGATCTTGCCGCGTGAGGAAGGATCTCAGAAGAACCGTTCGTACTCCTCCACTGGGCGGCAAGAAGGGAGTGGGCGCACGTCGAGATGCGATGATGGCTAGTGAGGTGGTGGTGGGAAGATGAAATAGAATGATCTGGATGGTTTAGGATGACGATTTGGACTGTGTCTGGGTTCGTTCCCAAGGTCTGCAAAGTTCGGAACCTCGATGGTCCCCACCCGGAAATATGCGCGGAAAGACAATTTCCCCCCCCATCGTTCTCCACTGTAAGTTCCCCGCACACAGAGGAGTGATGATGTAACGAACCGGCACTGGCACCATGCACACCAGCTGATGCACAAACACATACGTGCGCAGTCTACAGTAGCTGTGCTGTATTTAGGTGGTCCAGGTTCCGAGGTGTGGGCGCACACTTGGAGATATGATGGCGGTTGGAGGTAGAGA